GGCATACGCAATTCAATTAGCAAAGTACCGCCGTATAAAAACCAAGCGCTGCCCGTGCGGCATTTGCATAACCCGCTGAGTGGCCAACGCGTGCGCACCACCGAACCAGAGAGCGAGTAGGGGATTAACCACCACCGAAAGGATGAAGAGCACCTCCGCCTGTCTGATAGTCGCCCTTGCGGCGCTGTCTGCCGCCCACTCGGCGCCCACCGAAGGTCAAGGGGCGGCGCAAACCGCAACCCAACTGGCCCTGGACATGTACCACGGGTGCCTCAAGGACCTAAGTGTCTCCTGTGTCCGTCCCAAGGCTCTGCAGTGGTTCAACTCGGCCCTCCAGCAACCAGAGGTGCGGATCACCGAGCGCCTGTCCATCGTCCGCACCTCGCAGAAGGTCGAGTCCCGATCCCTCAATCCGGAGGAGCGCCTCTTCGATGACGTCGACAGCTATCTGGCCAGCCACTCGCTGAGGATCCAGGCCCCGGAGTACTTCCGCAGCTCGGAGGCCCGCTCCCTGGTGCCCGATTTCCTCATGTCGAATCCCCTCACCCAGGGCGGAGTCATTCCCCTGGCAGCTGCCAACGAAGGTGCGTATAAAATAATACAAAATTTATTAGCTAAATTTTTAATTAAATGAAAAGTCTCTGACCATCATTGTTGTATATGGTAAGAATATATTTTGGAGATCTTCTAACAATAACAGTTCTTATGTAAACAGACCATGTAGATAAATATAGAATTCAATGAATAATTTAAGTCATGAGATTCCTATCCATTCAACTGATTAGTTTAATTTAGTAGTCGTATAACTCAACTGTTGTTTCTTTAATATGTTTAACTTTATTAAAATTTGGTAAGTGGAGCCTAGGATTAGGGATAATCTGCTTTACAAAGATGCCTACAATACCTTACCATCTTTTTTGATAATTTTTCCAGGACGTGGCATGATCCGCAAGGCCATTCTGCCCTTCCTGCTGGGTCTGAAGCTCAAAACCACTGTGCTGGTTCCCCTGGCCTTGGGACTTATTGCCCTGAAGACCTGGAAGGCCATGACTCTGGGTCTACTTTCGTTGGTGCTGTCCGGGGCTTTGGTTATTTTCAAGATCGCCAAGCCCAAGATCGTCAACTACGAGGTGGTGCACTACCCTCACCATGTGGATCATGTGGTGCCTCATCATATTGAGCACGTTGTACCCCATCACATCGAGCATGTGGTTCCCCATCACATCGAGCACATCGTGCCACATCACATCGACCATCACCTGGAGCACCACATCGACCATCACGTGGATCTGCCCGTGGAGCACATCGAGCACCTGGAGCACCCTTCGCCCGCCTGGGACCCTCATGCTTGGGCCCGATCCTCGCAGGAGCCGCAGGATGCCCAGGACTTGGCCTACGCGGGTCAGAAGTGAGCCTGAGACCAGAAACCAAAACCCCTTCCACGAAATTCGGCCAAACCGCAACCTTATTTATTTTGCTCTAAGTTAAGTAGTTGAAACGCACGGCTCTCGGCGTATTGTTTATTTATTTATTTATTGAGAAGTGTACAAAGCAAAAAACCATAACAAAGAAGAAAACACCAGGGTGTTTTTAAAGGTACTAAGTGGGAATTAGCTCTGGTATCCTTTTGTGTAAATATCTCTGCAATAAAGTATGCAAAAATTTTGTGTCTAATTGACGACTTTTTTGGGACGGCAACCCCAAAGCGAAAGGGGTAATGAACCCAAAAACTTTTCTAATGCGCGGAGTTTCCTTTTAGAGAGGTTGCCCAGGAAACTCCAGTAAATTGAATACCACAGAATAATGAGTGCAACTTCTTACCAAAGTGCCTGATAAAAATGCCAATGAGCTTTCATGTTAAATTCAACAAACTTTGCAGATGATGAACACAGAGGATTGAAGAATCCACGAAGGAGCCCTTTAACTGAATGCACACATTTTATATGCCAGGTGGAAAAGGTTTATCTACATAAAGCTACCTTGCGTAAAGAGGGTGTTTAAGTTTTTGGCTTGCCTAAGCAATATTATACCTTTATAGATATGATGTGATAAAACATATTCCAAATATGAAAGTGTCATTTTGCTTTCTAAGTTCACAATTAACTTTATAGTTATGGAAATTTCAAATTTAATTACAATTTTTATTACTAGAAAATACCTGAAAGAATAGACATTTTATCTAAAACTATTTGATTCCATCCCGGTTAAAAGCATATAAATATTTTATACTTTTAGCATACTTTCAGGAGACTTCATTGCCTCGCTCCACGGGGTAGAAAATCAACCTAAAAGCCAAAATGGAACAATTTATTTATTGCATTCTTTCCTTACTTGCTGGTTTTCTGTCCGTCCCAGAGAGAAAATCGATGGCCAGCAGTGCGGTCATATCAATTGCCAATGGCCACCCAACAAAACCGAAGCCTCACCTGACGCAGGTGGGTTGGAAAGCTGCCGCAAACACACATCTCCTAGCCAAAATGTCGGCGGCGATGGCGTGAAACAATGCAAAATGGCAGTGGCGCCAACAAAAAAAGCAGAGAATTCGATGGCAAAATGAAAAAAACGAGAAATTGAAAAACAATATCACCATTGAGCGACGACACTTCATTTATATTTAACGGCATGCACTTGGCCGCCATCGCTCGGCCATCGTTTCTACGCAACAATTTGGAATATGAAAAAGTTTTCCAATTTCATTGGCTCGAAAAAGAAATGCGACCGGAATGGCAAATTGTCCGCCAATGAAATGGTGAAACTTTTGACCAAACGACACAATCGAAAACCGAAAAATGGCCGAGAAACACTGGAGCTGCTATCAAATCAATTTTCATGGCAAACAACGCGTAATCAACGCACGAGATTCATATTTCAACCGCATTTCGAAATTCAGCGCATGACTTGGATTAAGCTGAGGAGAACGGAGGTGGACATGTCACTTTCGCTTTCGTTAAGGAAAAACACTTTCTATGTCGCTAACATGTAGGTGGGCACTCTTTTTGGCCACCGACCAACAGAAGTCCATTGAGCCGTTTCCATATTCCTTCCCCAATTAATAATTATTATTATGATTTGAGTGCCGTAATTAGTTTGCGCAATTCGGCGTGAGCAGGCCGTATAAAATTATGTGTTGCCATAGTTTAATTGCTAGTTTCTTCTGGCCAATAAACGGTTTATAACCACACAAGGTCCCGGGGACTACCTTCTATAATGGATTATGATGATTATTAATTCAGAAAGGAATTCTTATCTTAATGGCCAATTAAAACTTTTCAAAGACCGGCTAATCGATTTTCAGTCTGCGAAAGGGCCAGGAGACATACCTGTTTATTGCCTGCAAGTAAACCGAGAAAATGGGGAGAGAAGAACAATTGTTATTACAAACTTTCTGCTTGTACTTAGTCCGCAACTTCATTTGCTGTATTCCCTTTTCGCCCAGAACTTTTTCATAAACAAAGTGAAACATTCTGCTTGCATCAGAGTTTCATAAATTAGTTGTTGTTACTCATTAGGGTGCGTTAGGTTTACTTTGGGCGACAAATTAAACAATGTCTGGTATTCCTTTTCGCTCAAGTAAATTGCATTGCATCAAAGATGCTAGCTAATTACCAAATGAATGAGGCAACTTTATTGTGACCAAATTCAATCAGTAAATGGTACTGATGCCTTTGATGCCTCAATGGCACTTCATAATCTAAGAGCAGACTGTTGAATGGCTTTCCTACACTTCAAAAACTTTTGAGAACCGGTTTTTAATTAAAGTGAGATACTTAGGTTTCAAATATTCAGATGTGACGGAATAATATTGTAATATATAAATATATTTTTACTTTATTGTGCAAGATATATATTTTTTTTAAGGTTAACTAAATGAAAATTAATGGAATTATTGAATTCTATTTTAATTAAGTATGGTAAAAAAAACGCTTTAAAAGAGCTATAGGTCCAAAACCTAAAATTCGTTAAGTAATGGCAAAGATATTTGTTATTTTCAAAGATTAAAATAATATTTAAGGAAAAACAAGATAGAACGCTATAATCGGGTGCCCCGACTATCAGATACCCGTTACTCAGCTAAAGGAAGTGCGAAGGAGATGGAGATAAAAACTTTGATCCGCCGTAACTTTTTAACGAATGGTCCGATTTAAAAAATTTCTTCTACATTTCTATTGGTATTGATAAACACCAGAAAACTGCATTTTTACTTTTCCAAACTATTGAAATTTTTAAAATCGTATATAAGCGATTGTGGGCGTTAGAGGGGGCGTGGCACCCTTTTGAAACAAACTTTCGCTGCGTAGGAACTCCTAGAATCTGCATGCAAAATGTCAATCTTCTAGCTTTTATAGTTTCCGAGATCTCAGCGTTCATACAGACAGACAGACGGACAGACGGACAGACGGACAGACAGACAGACAGACGGACAGACAGACGGACAGACGGACATGGCTAGATCGACTCGACTAGTGATCCTGATCAAGAATATATATAGTTTATAGGGTCGGAAACGCTTCCTTCTACCTGTTACATACTTTTGCACGAATCTAGTATACCCTTTTACTCTACGAGTAACGGGTATAATGATGAAATAAAAGCTATAAATACTTGATCTGACAAAAATTTTGTGAACTTACAAAATTTTTTAATATGTTAGGAAAGAAAATATTTAAGTAAAGACATTTCTTAAAAATACATGTACTTTGTATAGCATCCCCATCAAGCACACTAGAAACAAATATATTTCCAAGTGCAGCCATCAGCCCACATAGAAAACTCTCGGATGCGACCGGCACGCGTTCGAAATAAAGCCACATTAAGCATACGACACGTGGTGCGCCGAGGCACGCACACAGGCGAAAACAACAATTTTGGAGCGGCTCTGTCGCCGTCCGCTTCATTCATGTCTTCTCCGGCCATTCTCCATTTCTTTCGCCCAGGCATTCGGCTGCGAACGAGTTAAAGATCCAGTGAGTATAAAAATCGTGAACAATAGAAAAACGATTATTAAACGCAATTGTGCCAGCGCAGAGGCGAGTTGTGTGTTGACCAGCGGCGAGTGAAGAACCCCAAAGAAACAGCCTAAACAGCAAAATGGCCAATCTGCTCCTTGTGATCGTTGGTGTGGCGGCCCTTGTGGCGGCGGGACAGGCGGCCGGTGTCTCCACTGATCAGCTGCAGCGGCTAATCGCCGAGGAACAGAGCAAGTGCGCCAGTGGCCAAGACTCGATGGCCTGCATCAAAGAGCGGGCCATGCGGTTCGTGGACAACGTGATGAGCAAAGACAGCTACCAGGTGAGCTTAAGAATATTCACTAGTCGGAAGAACATTTTTGAAAATTTTTAAACAGATTTTTCTCAATTCTTTTGATTTGTCTTGATTTGACTATTAAATATCAATTTAATTTTTTTCAATTTCTTAAATCTGTTTACCAAACAACATGACGATTAAAATCAAAATATATTTGGTTATTAAATATACTTAATGGCAGTGCTGCCAAAAATAAAATGACAGATGCAGAATAAAAAAATAAAGATACAGATTTCAGGAAAATATGAGTTTAAAACAGCTTTTCTAGATCAATTGATCTGTTCTGAAAAAGACTAGAAATGTCAGCCCTGTTTCTTGGCATTAGATAATCGTAATTTCTTGAGATCGGCTTTGTTTTAATAAAGAAACTTATATTATGCCCTGTAGGTGTCCAACCTGGAGGTGCGCTCCAACGGCCAGAAGACCAAGCCAATCAGTGAAGCCCGTGCCAGCAGTGCCGATGGATTCATGGATGCCGTCGAGAACTACATCCTTGGACACGATGTCAGCATGGACTTGCCCTTGGCCGATGCCAAGGTCACCGTCTCGGCCCGCAACCTGGTTAACAATCAGCTGAGCCTGAACCTCCAGCTGAACGGCGACGAAGGCGATGAGGGCACCGATGTCGAAGCCAGGGGTAAGAAGGGCAACATCTTCAAGAAGGGTGGGTTCACTTTCCGCATGCCTGTTTGCCCCTTTGACTAGCTAGCTCCTACTAACCGGAAACCCAATTTGAATAATATAGGAAAGAAGCACCGTCTCCGTAAGCTGGCCATGCCCATCCTGGTGCTCATCCTGCTGAAGGCCATCACCGTGATCCCCATGGCCATTGGCATTCTGAAGATCAAGGCCTTCAACGCCCTGGCCCTGGGCTTCTTCTCCTTCATTGTCTCGGTTGGTTTGGCCATTTTCCAATTGTGCAAAAAGGTAAGCCGGCCACGATATTAAAACGCATCTCCAATTGTCTTCCAGGCATTCGCTGGATGTGGTAATTAGTCAGCGTTTTGTGTGTTGGGATGATGTTGGGCGTGGAGTTCGAAGTTCGAAGCGAGCTTTATTGCAATTAAGTGTCATATGTAATGCATGTATGTATAAGAAGTCGAGAGGGCGGCAGCAGCAGGGTAAGTCGAGCCAGAATCCTCGCCCACACTCTCCCGCTTCCCAACCAAACCACAAAACTGACTACCCAACCAACACTAGCATTTGGAATATTCTTGATCAAAGACAAGACAAAAGCTTTACACTTGTCACATTTTTCTGCACCCTAGATTGCTCATGATCATCATCACACCGCCCACATCACCGCTCATGGTCCTTGGGACGGTCGCACCTTTGGCTCCGTTCCTGTCCCCGTCGTCGAGCAGCCCCAGAAGTTGGCCCAACCCCTGGCCTACCAGGCCTACGCCTAAACCACAAAAATGGAACACCGAGATCCGATCGGAGCAGAGCAGATTGAAGCCAAGGAGTGGTCGCGAAAGCACAAAATCATTTGTTAATTGTTAGGAATATTCTGTGGCTTTGGACCACTTTTCCACATTCCCTGTGCTGCTCATTTCATTAGACTTTACTTATAATATTTATTAACTATTTATTGAAAACAAGAGATTAAGAAAATAGAGACGCAAAGCAAAAGCACCAAAATAAAGTAGCAAAATAAATGCCTTAAATATGCTAAAATCGATTTTACTTATGGGAGACGTGGCCGCGGGTCAACATTAAATCCATATTAAAGATTTAACCCAAGGCATTCGGCCAAATCAGCCTGCGGTAAAAACCGCACCGGTTGAATGCCTGAGCCAGTAGGCCTAATTAACGTTTCCACCCCAGGGCGGTATTCTCAGAGCCTCGGCCAATTTCACTTGGCATACAATATGTATAAGCCATCGGCTGCACAGCAATTGTGTCCTAATTAGCCAAATTTAATACACAGCAAACGCCGACCCTCGGCAGCAAATCTAATTAAATATTCCACTCAAGTCGCCTTTGAGGCCCGCTTGGAAGAGTCGATTAAATTGATTAACTGCATATAATTTAAAAATTTAAATTTCCTCTTTTCACTTGTGCGAAAGTCGCCAGGCGTCGGAGAGTGAAAGTCTTTCTACATTCCTTGCCCCAGGAACGAGGGCCAAGGGCCAAAAGATCAGGGACATTTTCTGCCCTGAATGCCGCTCATTGAGGCATATGTTTCGCAGTAAACACAAATCGATGGGTGGCCCAAATAGAAAATAAAAACTCACAAATAAATCCCTGTCATGAAAGCAAGCCTCAGCTTTGATTACGCTCAAATGCACCAATTCGCTGGAATGTTCAGAAAAATTTGCCATAAGGGACAACCTTTTTGATTTCGACGAAGTTGTAAGAAAATACATTTTTTAAGCACAGATACATAATTTAAACCAAAATTAAATTCATCAGATAAAGAAAATGCCTAAACATAAAAATAATTTATCTTCCTATTCTTCTATCGTTTTTTTCACCATTGTTTCATCCTAATCATATTTCTTATGATTCAATATATAACTTAAAACAAATAAGTTCCAATTATTTATTTTTCAAACCCGTTCGAAAATTAATTTGTATTATTTTATTGTCTTTTTATGGATGAGATAATACACATATCATTGGACTCAAATTGAATTCTATTCGAGGGTCAAGCATCAATTTTCAATGCATGTGTGTTCTGGCAACCAACAAAGTGTGAAAATTGGCATAATATTGGCACGTTCGGGAACTGGCCTCTCGCCGTTGGCAGAATTTCACAGAATTTAAGCCAATTTATCAGGCGAATGAACCGGTGTCGGAGGAGTTTGAACAGGGATTCCGGTGGAGTGGGCTCACACCTGCACAGGTGGAGGCGCTTCCATAATCGCTTGACGCTGTTTTGGTCAGCTCACCATCACACCGTCATCATCAGCATCGAGTGGAAGCCAAGGCACGAGCTTATGGAAATTTATTTTATCGTATTCGGACCATTTTTTGGCACGATCCGAGAAAAAGTGTGGCGCTAGTAAAACAAACATAAAGCCAATTTCTTTTATCGTAGGATACGAGTGTTACACATAAAGTTAACTTGTCGCTGGTAAAAAGACAGAGACACCTTTTGAATTATTTAAACTAACCATTAGGTAATCTATGATGAATCCCATGATTTTGGCAGGCAAAATAAAGATTTTCGATTGTATAATATGCTGGTGTTTTCAAAAGAGTACGTACCTGCATACTACAAAAGGAGTATATACAAAAGCTAGGGTATACTGAATTAATATGAAAATAGTTTCTTTTTAGTAATATAAAATAATTACACTGTGTTACAAAATTAACGCTTTTTAAATTTACCTCGATGGATGCTATTGTTGTGAATTCGTTACGAATTCCCAAGCTAAACTGCGTTTTCCAAAAAGTTCCCCGACGCAAGGATTCTCAGCACAAGAACCTCGAAAAATGCTGAAATTGGCCAACTTGGCCATGTCTAGATTGACTCGGCTAGTGATCAGTTCAAGAATATAAGTACTTTATATGGCTGGAAACGCTTCCTTCTCCCTGTTACAAGCTTTCCGACGAATACAATATATTCTTCTTCTCTACGAGTAAACTGGTATAGCTGCCAGGGCTATCGACTGTTGAAATGTTTCTTGTTTTATGTATTATGTTTTATGTATTTTATATTATATACAATTCGTTTAGTCTTAAAAATGGGACACAGGCATGGACAGGAACTCCCTTTTTTGGAAATCATGAACAAGTGTGTCACCTAAATGTATGTGGCACAAATAAAACCGAAAATCTATTTCGTAATCTACAGAAAGCAAACAAAATAATAATTGAAGCCGCTGCGAAATCGAAACAACAGTTCCGCGTACAAAAAAAACAGAAACGTATCAAATCTAGTGAGGAGTCAGTACCCAATCGTAGTTGAGTTCCGTACTGATTTCTTGTATCGAAATTTGACACAATACGCCGAAGTATGTACGTGTCTTCGATTTGGCTTTCTTGCGGACGGGATGGTCGCGTAAGAGTAATGGGCCTGCATACTAATAACAAACAAAAGTTATTTCCATCGAGGCGTCAATAATGCAACTTTGGCTGGTGGGAGGGTTAGGTAGGTTTGGTGTCTGAGGCCGATATGGAAAGCGAGAAAGCTTCAGGGGCAACCCAGTTAACAGAGGAGAGGCTACTGTTTTATGACGGGGTATTAGAAGAGGGCGAAGGGTATATTGTGTTGTCGCATATATGTGAAACTACTCCAAGGGTTTTGTTGCTAATAAAAAAAAACAATTTTTAATTCGTATACCACCTAGCACCAGGGGTTCTTGAATTCATACATAAGAAATGGGCTTGCCAACAACTTAATTTGTTAAAGGATGCATTTTCCGTAGTGCAACCTTCTCTCGAATGCGTTTTCTACCAAATCACAAAAAACTGTGTTTAAGTCGATTAGATTACAAGTTCTAAGAGCACTTGTTATATCAAATCAATGCTTTTAAATAGCTTGCAATTAAGAAAACGGGTACTTAATATTCGTGACACTCTCCCACAACGTTCTTGTTTTCTTTTCAATTTTTTTTTTGTGAAAAACTTTGGCCACTTGCTTTCCGTGGACTTGGCCCGTGTCTCGACTTTCGTCGCTCGTCACTAGCTGCGTTGGGCTGTCCAAAAACCGAAATGTGCACTCCAAAAAACCAGCATAGGTCTCTTGGCGCTCTCGGGGAGCGGCAGTATAAAACCCGAACCAATCGGCAAATCATCCAACATTGTCGCCGCATCGACTCCACAGTGAACACTACGCGCTCTGGTAGTGTTAAATACATATATTTATAATTGTAACTAATTCGATTGGGAGCACAATGGCTTTCCGTTTCACGTCCTTGCTCGCGTTCGGTTGTGCGCTGCTGCTGGTGGCCTCTGTGTCCGGAGCTGCCATCGAGAATGCGGTGACCCCGCGAATCCACAGCTCCGACGAGCTGATCTCGACCATTGTGGATAAGTGCTTCCATGCCAATGCCATGCATTGCCTGAAGGAGAAGGTGCTCAGCTACCTGGACACGGTGGCCAATGTGGAGGAGGAGGTCAGCGGACGTGCCCTGAGCGACGATGTCATCGATAAGGTCATTGTGGATCGGCTGGGACGCATTCTGAACACCAACGAGATGAGACTGCAGCTGCCACAGACCTTCTTCGCTGGCTCTGTGATGACCTATCGCTCGGATCGCGGTTTCGATCTGGAGCTGCCCAGGGATGAGGGTCAGTAGTTGTGGAAAGCCACCGTACATACATGCTAACTTTAGAAAAATCATTCAGGTCGCGCTGAGAAGAAGAACAAGGACAAGCTGTTCCTGCCCCTGTTGCTGCTGATGAAATTCAAGCTGAAGGTCATCATGCCCATCCTGCTGGCTCTGATCGGTCTGAAGGCCACCAAGGCTCTGATTCTGTCCAAGATTGCCATCAAGCTGGTGCTGGGTTTCCTCATCTACAACCTCATCCAAAAGTTGGGAGGCATGAAGATGAACATGGTGCCCATGCCCGCTCCAGTTCCGGCCAGCGAATACGGAGTGCCCAGCACTACGGCCTCGTCCTACGATCCCAGCAGCTGGGAGCCTATGAGCGGAGGTCCCTATGCCCGTTGGGACTCGCAGAACCTGGCTTACAGCTCGTACCATCCCAGCAGCTCTTCGTCCTACTCCTCGGGATCCTCGTCGGGATCCTCGGGCTCTTCGTCCAGCTACAGCTCGTCCTCTTAAAAAGGGAAAATCATTCGCCCCATTGTACATACCAAGGATATTAGTGGTCCTTCCTAGGATGGATCACTGCGAGTCTTACAGACCAAATGGAACCGGAACCTGCCCAGGTCATAATTGTAGTTGTAAAGGGTTAAGCACGCGAGAGTTTTAGCCATTCTTCAGCTGTAACCAACTTAGCCTGAATTTCTTCTCCTCATACCATCTTCTTTCGCATTGACACTTTGTCTTTTTGCCTTCGTCACTTTGTCACAAATCGACCAAAAATCAAACAGAATTGAATTAATATTTATTTAATTTATTAAAAATGCAAAAATCAAAAACATGCACCATTATGGATTTCGTGTATAGTGGGATGGTTTTGGGGTAATTTAATTAAATTGCACTCAATCTACTCTTTTTTATTAAAACACGAATTTAAAACGCGTATTATAACACTAAAAAAAATTAATTTTTTGCTGATTATGTTACGCAATAACTATCTGAAGTTTTCGTAAATATTTTAAATGTTTATTTGCAGTTTATTTATAAATGCAAAATTATAAATATAAGTAGAGCCTGACCGCATAGTCAACCCACAATTTTTTAAGGATCGCCAAATAATATCAACATTTTAAATTATTTGATCAATCACTTACGTTCAGATATACCTTATAAAGGAAGTGTTCTCCAGATTTGCATGTGAAAGAGTCAGCGCCACTTAGCTTAATAGTCTGTCAACTAAACGAGGTACTAACTGATATTGTATTGCATGTTTAAGAACCCACCAACACGCAAGTGCTGCTAAATACTAATAGGTCGGCGGCACGACAATTTATTTTATGAAGTTTTAAAAGAGTAACGAATAGCAAATTACCTAAACTTAATGGTATTGACAGCTGTTTTTGTTAGACAATTGGCCGGTAGAATCCATCTGTTGGATGGACTTCCTATTTAAGGTCTGCAAATACCGTATTGGTAGTCAGTATAACACTTGCTACAGAATGTTGACCAGCGTTTGGGTTCTTATTTTTATAAGATTTGGGCCGAGCTTGAGCCTAAAATATACCAGGGAAGATCATCAGTCGGACACGGAAGTCAGTAAGTTCATGAGAACACTGGATGTGATACCAGATGTAATCCAGATCGGACCCCAGGAGTTCCTTAATGTAAGTAAACAACTAGAAGGAAAGCTTACTTCGGCAAGTTTATAAATCCTTTTAGATCGTTCCTATGATCGAAATCAATTAAGCTATATCTTGTATACAATTGTCTCCTAGGAAATATACCAATTTAGTTATAGTTCTGGCTGGTTAATTTTTAATTCATTAGTCTTTTATGTTACACCACAATAGGTTACATACCATGGCCAAGTAGCAGCACATTGTGGAAAGTTACTAGAGCCAATGCAAGTGCGGGATGAACCCTCTTTAAAATGGCCGGCAGCACCGGAAAACTACTATACACTGCTGATGGTTGATCCAGACGTACCCAACGTCATTACACCCACGCACCGGGAGTTCCTGCACTGGATGGTGCTAAATATACCCGGCAACCGACTGGCACTTGGCGATGTGCGCGTGGGATACATGGGACCCACTCCATTCAAGGGAACCGGAACCCATCGGTTTGTCTTTCTGCTCTACAAACAGAGAGATTATACCAGGTTTGACTTTCCTAAGCTACCCAAGCACTCAGTAAAGGGACGTAGTGGGTTCGAGACTAAATTATTTGCAAAGAAATATAAATTCGGGTATCCAGTGGCTGGAAACTTCTTCACAGCCACCTGGAGCGCCGATGTCCCAGCCCTTATAAAGGTCATCTCACACAGTGCCCGTCAGGCCACGCAAACCTAAGTTAATCGATTAGGTGTTAATAAAAATTATGCAAAATGTACCCCGTAAATCCTTATTTCACAAATTTCATGTAGAGGTAAAAATTGTGTGCGTTTATACCATTCATAAATGTACAGTAGGTTGGGTCGATTTGAATGGGGACAGAGAAACGAAGCAACAAATCGGAATTTCAAGCAAAATTAGAGAACCAACTTGTGGTTAGAAACAGAGCTCTCAAGGGAGATCTTAAACTTTTAACGTGTTTTTCTCTAAAACCCATATTTTTTAACTGGTCGCCACGATTTTTCTTAATCTTAAAAACGTCTTGACCGGTCGAGTTTGTCTTGATTGGAAAATGTTCACGAAATGTACCGCTATGGCAGCAACTAAAACAAATTGAATACTAAACTAATAAACTAAACTAACATAAACTAACTTGGGCAAGCCAAAGTTTTAGTAATCTTGCAATTTTCACGAATGAAAATTTGACTAGAATAGCAACATGAATTATAATACAAGAAAATATTTTAGAAATTAAAAAAAAACTCTTAAAATGTTGTACCTTATTGTTCCTATGGGAGCTATAATATATGGACGTCCGATCGGCACGCGCTTTTACCCTGCTCAAGGTATGCATATAAGAATAAGATTTGATTCACGTCAATAGCTTTTACAGTGTGCGAAATATCTTCAATTTTAGAAAGCTATTCGATTGTTCCTTTGGATATAGATATATAGAATATCCGATCGGGGCGCTTTTCAAACTTGATCTGCGTACACATGTTTTAAGACGACTGTGAAAGTTTATAAAAACCGTGAAAAACTGTGGTGCCCGCAGTTTTGTAGCTAGAAGGAAAACATAAACTCAAATCGGTAATACTCTAGATTAGCGGACTCACCCCCAAAATTCGCGAAAAAATTATCCTTAATGGACCGCGATTTTTTAAGAATTTAGGAATTTAATTTATTTTGACAAAAAAGGAAAAGTGTACATTTATGTTTATACCCGTTACTCGTAGAGTAAAAGGGTATACTAGATTCGTGCAAAAGTATGTAACAGCTAGAAGGAAGCGTTTCCGACCCCATAAAGTATATATATTCTTGATCAGGGTCACTAGCCGAGTCGATCTAGCCATGTCCATCTGTCCGTCTGTCTGTCCGTCTGTCCGTCTGTATGAACGCTGAGATCTCAGAAAATTATCCTTAATGGACCGCGATTTTTTAAGAATTTAGGAATTTAATTTATTTTGACAAAAAAGGAAAAGTGTACATTTATGTTTATACCCGTTACTCGTAGAGTAAAAGGGTATACTAGATTCGTGCAAAAGTATGTAACAGCTAGAAGGAAGCGTTTCCGACCCCATAAAGTATATATATTCTTGATCAGGGTTACTAGCCGAGTCGATCTAGCCATGTCCATCTGTCCGTCTGTCTGTCCGTCTGTCCGTCTGTATGAACGCTGAGATCTCAGAAACTACAAAAACTAGAAGGTTGAGATTTCCCACACATATGGCTTCCTACGCAGCGCAAGTTTATTTTAGCCGAGCGCCACGCTCCCTCTAACGCCCACAATCGCCCACTAATGATTTTAAAATGGGTCCTGCGCCCACATCTTTAAAGATTTCCGAGAAGTATAAATGCAATTTTGTTGTTTATATTTATACCTATCGAAATGTAGAAGACATTTTTCAAATCGGAACATTCATTAAAAGTTATACGCAATCAAAAATTATATATCTATCTCCCTCGCACTCCCTTTAGCTGAGTTACGATTATTAGTCGGGACACCAACCCGACACAGCGTTCGCACTCCCTTTAGCTGAGTGACGGGTATTAGATAGTCGGGACAACAACCCGACTATAGCGTTCTCTCTTGTTTTATATAAAATCGGCAACATTGAAATTCAATGGTAATAGTCTAGAAGAGCGGCCTGAGCACCAAAAACCGCGAAAAAATTGCCCTCGATGGACCGCGATTTCTTAGGAATTTACGTGCAGAAGATTATTTGCGGAAATGCATTGTTCTCTTGTAATTGCATTTCAAAGTTGCGTGTTTTGCTATAAAAACAAAGTAGGATTTTCTAGGATTTTGAGGTGTTATGTGTCATTTTGCTATAAAAAACATATGGGCTTTCCGTTTGTTGTCAAAATAATAAGCGTTCGAAAAAATTCGACAAAAATGTGAAATTGTTTTTATAGCAGGCCAGACCCCACAACCGCGAATTAATATCCTCGATGGACCGTGATTCCTAAAGAGCTTGTGCGACCATGGATGACCAACATATACATTTTTAAGATGAATCTTAAGAAATCGCAATCCGAGGAGGATCAACCTTAGTCTTTATCAAAGCCAATTACGAGAGTTTTTAGTTCAGTACCTCCTTATACTTGTAACTCATTTGTAATAGTAAATAAAATGCTATATTAAACTATGGTTAATGATTGGACAGTAAATATTTATTTATAAAAAATGCTGGTTAGTGGTACAGATTAAGCCTATTCCTTTTCATTGTCCGTATCGGTGGTTTCCTGAAATTTAAGATAGTTAATTGTTAGTATTTAAAAGGTTGATCCTCCTCGGATTGCGATTTCTTAAGATTCATCTTAAAAATGTATATGTTGGCCATCCATGGTCGCACAAGCTCCTAAGGAATCACGGTCCATCGAGGATATTAATTCGCGGTTGTGGGGTCTTGCCTGCTATAAAAACAATTTCACATTTTTGTCGAATTTTTTCGAAAGCTTATTATTTTGACAACAAACGGAAAGCCCATATGTTTTTTATAGCAAAATGACACAAAACACCTCAAAATCCTAGAAAATCCTACTTTGTTTTTATAGCAAAACACGCAACTTTGAAATGCAATTACAAGAGAACAATGCATTTCCGCAAATAATCTTCTGCACGTAAATTCCTAAGAACTCGCGGTCCATCGAGGGTAATTTTTTCGCGGTTTTTGGTGCTCAGGCCGCTCTTCTAGACTATTACCACCAGACATTTTGTTTCATATTTGTTTGAATAATGTGCATGGGGCAGCTCATCGATGTGTGTGTGCCTTGAATTAAATAATATTAATAACTTCCTTCCTTATAACTTCGTAAAAGAGTTAGTACTTTAAAAATTTGGTTAACCGCAAGGTGTCATTTGAGAAAAATGTCGGCATTGAAGGAGTATAAAAATACATTTTCCGACATCTCAAACCTAAACTAAATCATTACTCACCTCAGCCAAAAATGTCCGAGGCCGCTGTATGTTTTTCGAAGCACAAAATCGTGCCGGATATCTTGAAAACGTGCCCCACTAGTTTGCTTAAGGTAAGCTTATCCATAAAATATTTGTTATCACCCGTGCCACATTTTGTTTGCTTCCAGGTAACATATGGCGGTGGGCAGATGGTGGACATGGGCGGAGAATTGACACCCACACAGGTGAAGGATCAGCCAAATGTTGAGTGGGATGCGGATCCGAACGCCCTATACACGCTTATCCTTACCGACCCGGATGCGCCAAGTCGAAAGGATCCCAAGTTCCGCGAGTGGCACCACTGGCTGGTGGTCAATATTCCAGGAAACCAAATTGAAAACGGTACGGTTTTGACCGCCTATGTGGGTTCCGGTCCGCCGCAAGGAACCGGGCTTCATCGCTACGTCTTCCTGGTCTACAAACAGTCTCAAAAGCTCACGTGCAGCGAGCCTAAAATCCCGAAGACCAGCGGCGAAAAGCGAGCCAATTTCAGCACCACCAAGTTCATGAGCAAGTATAAACTGGGAGATCCCATTGCCGGCAACTTTTTTCAGGCACAGTGGGACGAATATGTGCCCAAGCTTTATAAACAACTGTCCGGTAAAAAGTAGCCTAAAGTCTTGTTTTTAAAATCACGTTTCCAGGGCCGAAAATAATTTGATTGCTTAATTTTACAATTAGGTTGTGCTTAATTCCAAATCCTTGTATTTCGACCTGTAAAATAAAATAATATATATCAACAAGAATTCATTTTTAAAACATTTAGACAAAATCTAATTAAACTTTAACACACTAAAATATTGACTTTTGCAGTTTAATTCATTTTTACCCTCAATGCTTCCAGATTACATATTTCTAATTGAAATTGAACATTTATTTTTAATTTGTGCACAAAATCGGTTAGTTTTAATGCTTTTGTGTATACTAGGGGAATGGATTTGTATTTAAAATACGTTCAGTAACGGGCAAAAATAAAACATTATATTCCAAAACAAATATTAAAAAAAGCTCATATCAATAAATTGTCTGTGTTAGGTGTACAATAAAATATTATTTGATTATTTTTCAATCATGTTCGTTTAATTAAATTAATTCACCAATTACCACAACTAATCACAGAATTTATCAGATAAAATTGTTTAGAATTTTCTGCTGAATGCATTCATTATCTGTGAAGCGTAACTTCAAACAAAGATATCGTTAATTACTATTCTGGGAATACTTTTTGCCAGCTGTTTATAAAACAAAAAGCTTTTAGCTTCGCTTTAAAAATATGGCATCACAACAAACTCGTTTTAGTTGCTCACAGACCTTGTTCAAGATCAGAGCTGATTTCTCCAACGTTTGCTTTTAGTATTTGTCGTCTACAAAATAATTCTTTCTACAAAGATGCTGTTGGTTCTATTACCATTGATGACTTGCTTGGTGGCCGTTCAAGCAAACTCTGTGGAAGAAGTCTTTAGATCCCATCAGGTGGTCCCTGATGTGATTTCCGAGCCGCCAAACCAGTTATTAAAGGTGGGGCTACTGACAAAAACTTAAAAAGAAACTATATAAATATAATTGACGAGGTATTCAAGAAAAAAAAGAAATCGAATATTAAGTATTTTTATCTCAAGCTTTCGATACCTGGCACTAAAATAAAATGTACATTTATTACAATTATACGCAATCGTGCTATTTTTTAGTCGTCACAACTTTCTGACCAAAGGTCACAATCAGAAAAAACTATTTAAGGCAAAAGTTTCAAGTTTCAAGCATTACAATCGTTTTTTTCTACAAAACAGTTTATGCAAGAAATCGCGCAAAAAACACTTTTCTAAAAATCAAGGAAGTAATAAAGCAAGCATGAAAAACCAATTAAAATTTGAAATCAAGCAATGACCTTTAAACAATTTTTCTACCAAAGGTCACGTACAGCAACGACCTTGTGGCCAAAAATGGAGTAGAGCTTACGCCCACGCAGGTTAAGGATCAGCCTACCGTGCAGTGGGACGCGCAGCCCGGCGATTTCTACACACTGATCATGACCGATCCCGATGCACCCAGCCGCGCGGAGCCCAAGTTCCGCGAGTTCAAACACTGGGTTCTGGTCAATATCGCCGGCAATGACCTGGCCAGCGGGGATGCGATCGCCGAATATATTGGGTCCGGCCCTCCCCAGGGAACGGGTCTGCATCGCTACGTCTTCCTGCTGTACAAGCAATCCGGAAAACTTGAGTTCGACGAGGAGCGCGTGAGCAACAAATCTCGAAAGGATCGTCCGAAATTCAGTGCCGCCAAGTTCGCCAAGAAACATCAGCTTGGCAATCCCATCGCCGGGACATTCTACCAAGCCCAGTACGACGAATACGTGCCTAAATTACACAAGCAACTTTCGGAAAATTGATCTTTTTTACGCGTCATTTGAAGACAATAAAAAAAAATAAATTTAAAGATACAAATTGAGAGAGATTGAGATATAGATTTCCTGTGATTCACAATTGATTTTTCGTATCTCAAAGCGATGTGTTTTTAAAATCTACAATTCTCAGTTTCCTTTTTAAACCGAATTAAAATTTCGATTTTAAAATTTTATAATAATTAATGTCAATTAGAATTTATAAATACTTTCTCAATAACTTGAGAATCTTGTTAAACGAACAGTCAACCTTAAAAGGCTTTTTTCGAACCAAAATAATACACTATGAATTGGAGTAAAGAATTGATATCAACAAGATGAAAACATAGACCTTACCCTGTTACAAAAATCTATTAAAATGCGCTTGTCTGCTTAAGAACACCTTGTCAAATGTAACAAAAACCTAAACTTACGATTTACACACCACTGGACCGGATTTCTTGATAAAGTTAATCGATTTTTGAATTTATTGACTGTAGTTGGTGGCTATTGGTTACTGTACGCTATCGCTATGGTAGACTATTTCCCGGCCGCCGTGGCCAGGGGGTTTCTGAGCACCAGGATCACGGAGTCGCCGCGCAGGAACATCTTCGAAATGAAGCGGTCCTTGTTCACGGGCTTCACCTTCTTCTTTCCCTTTCCGGTGCGCGGCAGCTCCGTCCACATTTCCTTGACGTTTTCCAGGACCATGTTGCAGTGGCGATCGAAGGCCTTGACCCTGCCGAGGAGCTTCTTGTTGTTGCGGCAGTTGATGAGCACCTGGGTGTTGTTCTTCACGGATTGCGTGAGCACGGACAGCGGCCCGGTGTTGAACTCCTCCTCCTCCTGGCGGGCCAGCTCCTCCGGAGTCAGTTCCGACTTAGGTTTCACAAGAGCCCTATTGGGAAAACAATTAATAAACACTCTCAACTCGCGCGTGAAACCAACAATCCAAAATGCCGGCGCACATGTCGCTGCCGGTTTTCCCTTTCCGATCGGTTGGCCATCACTTTTCCGGAATACTCACATGTCTGATTGAACTTATGGCTTGTTAAATGCAGTTAAAGTCTTTTTATTTCGCTCCTTAGTTGCTTTTTTGCGTTTATTGTCGCAAAAATGCGGCTTCCTTCTTTGCTTGATTTTCTAGAGATGGCACGCTAGCGATGGCACAATCGGCGATTCCCGCATTTGGTATATTTTGGTATTCCAACAGATAACAAACATTTTAAAGTATTTTTTATATAGGATATGTCGGATATATAGGATGAATAACCTTAGGGATTCCTTGTTGAACTGTTAATTTGCTGGATTGTTGAATTTTGGTCAGCTGTTAATCAGCTTTTCCACACAAAGTCAAATTTCAGAAATTTCACCAATTCATGGCTGATAAAAATGTTGTTGATTCGTTGAACACCACAGTGGCCCCTTTATTTATTAAATGTCACGGAACTCTGTAACATTTTAGTATCACCAGTACGCATTATTTACAATAAAATCAATTTAGAAAGCATAATTGCTGAAATTTGCTGTTAAGATTTCAACAATTCAGTCAGGGTATTCCCTAAACTGTTGAATTGTGGTCAGCTGTTAATCAGCTGTTCCATACAAAGTCAACATTCAGAAATTTCAGCAATTCAACAGCCTCGGGGCTGCTTTCAACTTAGAAAGCATATTTGTGGTTCTTTTTACCTTGGTAACAATTTTAGACAGTAAATAGCAATAATAAATAATAAGTTCCGTGAAAATTTTCAACAAATAACAGCTTTTTGAAAATTTAATATACCCTGAGTAATCGAACAGTTTAGGGAATACCCTGACTATTTATAAATAAATGATGTATTAATAAATGTATAAATTAATAAAATGTATTTGTATTACAACCAATTCAAACCAAAATGTGAGTCATTTAATAATTTTAAATAGTGGTTAATTTGAGTTAAATGTTGGATTTCTCTTAATTAAGGAATGTTTTTACTAGGGGGATTCCCTAAACTGTTAAATTGCTGAATTGTTGAAAATTCAACCAAAAATTTCAGCAATTAAGGGAATGACACAAAATGGTTCCTGTTGAATTTTCAAACAGCTGTTATTTGTTGAAAAGTTTCACAGAACTTAATGATTGTAAAATTTGATTTATTATTGCTAGTTACTGTCTAAAAGTGTTACCAAGGTAAAAAGAACCACAAATATGCTTTCTTAGTTGATTTTAAATTAAATAATGCATACTGGTGATACTAAAATGTTACAGAGTTGCCACGACTTTTAAAAAAATTGATAAGGCTCAGATGACACATTCAATTTTTAGCCCCAATTTATTGTGACAATTTGTCATTTGTGTGAGTTTAAAGAAGTGAAAGCAGGTCAGAATTAATATGATATCGCGTCTATATTCTTGGTGTTAGTGGTAGAGCAGCCAAAAATATTTGATTCTTTGTCGCGCTTGCTTAAAGTCCCATTAAAGAAAAATTGCTACAATAAATTGACTTTACAAATTGAATGTGTCATCTGAGCCTTAACAGCTGACCAAAATTCAACATCCCCCTATTATTTTCATTAACAAGGCACCAGTGGAAACGGAAAATTATATAAAAGGTAAAATATGAATATTTCAGTATTTTCTACAATTTACAATGGGCACATTGCTTCGCACGAGTTTTTTACTCGTTAATAATAAATTTTGAGAATTAATATCTAATGGAATCCAAGAAACCGAAGATGACTGACCAAGCGCTGACCACCACCTGCTCCTACTGGGTGCCACGCAAGAAGCGCCGCTGCAAGATGACGGCCAACAAGGGCAGCTCCTTTTGCGGCGCCCATTCCCCACCCACGTCTAGTCCCTCGGTTTCGGATGCAAAATCTGGCAAAGATTCCTTTCAAGAACGAATTCCCTGCCCGCTGGATCCAAAGCACACCGTCTTCAAAAGGAAGCTAGCCAAGCACTTGACCATTTGCAATGCAAGGGATCAGGAAAGTTCACTGCCCTACATTGTTAAAGGAGTAAATTCTGGAGATGATGTGGAGGAACAGGAGGACCTGGACAAACTCAATCAAATAAAACTTCACGAGCTGCCGGATGAGGAGTTCTACGGTTTGATCGACAAAGTAAAAGCCCTGTATGACAAGCACATTAATTCCAGCATAGAGGATCTGCAGTTGGAGCATGAATTCTTAAAGGAGGAACTGAGTCGCAAGGACTACGGCCAGGAAACGCTCCGCCAGCTTACCCAAGCCTCTAGCTTGCTTGGCATCCTGCAGGAGGCTCATCAGCTCACAGATCACACAAGCTATGTGGAATTCGGAGCCGGAAAGGGACAACTGGCCTACTTCTTAGCCACCGTTTTGGAGGGTCAGCAACTGACTCACTCCCAGGTGGTCCTCATCGATCGGATGTCCCTCCGCCATAAAAAAGACAACAAGGTGGCCAATAAGGAGCTGGTGCAACGCATCCGTGCGGACATCGCCGATCTAAAGCTCTCTGCTTTGCCAGAGCTGAAGAAAACCCAACGAACGGTGGCTCTCTCGAAGCATCTCTGTGGAGCAGCCACGGATTTGACCCTGAGATGCATGCTGGGTGACGGAGGTGCCACCACTGACTATGTGCTCATCGCCCTGTGTTGCCATCATCGCTGCTCCTGGCGCTCTTATGTAGGCCGCTCTTTTCTCCAGCAATCTGGGATCGGACCGCGAGAGTTCGCTATCCTAACCAAAATGGTCAGTTGGGCGGTTTGTGGCACGGGCTTAAGCCGAGAACGGCGCAAGGCAATGGAAAAGGCGGACGATCAGCCCGCGGAGACAAATACCCAGCGACTAAGTCGCAATGAACGAGAAGCAATCGGTCAGCAGTGCAAGCGGGTGTTGGATTTCGGACGACTAGAGTACCTGCGATCCCTCGGTTACCAAGCAGAGCTCAAGTTTTACGTTCCTAGGGATGTGACGCTGGAGAACGTGGTTCTGCTGGCCAGACCATTAGCATCTGCACGAGAGTTTCAAAATAAATGCAGTTGACTTTAGTTGATGAAGGCGTCGACTTTTTTATCGATTTGCATGATTTCTGGGCGGGCTGTAAAGTGATCCTCAGGAAGGCCTGTGTGAGTTTGTCTTTAAAGAAAACAGCTAGAGCGTGATTGATTGAGCGCGACTTTTAATTCAGAACTTATGCGAACATATTATTAATAATATTAACATTGCCATTATTCCTCTAAAAAAGGTTCAGCTAGTAATTTACAACAAGTCATTTCCGTGTTAAATATTCCAGACCGGAAAAACATTTAATCTCTTTAAGCTTCAATTCATTACTTTTATTAAGTTCATATGTATGTAGATAATTAAAAATGCATCTCAAATTCTTAAATGTAGTTTCAGGTCTAGGATTTTTTTTAATTCAAGCCGACTTCTGTCAGAGAGTTGGTTAATACTTTGTTTAAAGAACATTTACTTTTTTTAGTCCGAATCGAGGTTTCCATGGTTTTTTGGGACTTGGGGAACTTTACGGCCATCTTTTTAGCCGCGTGAAGGTTCTTAACGCATCTCATTGCCTTCGTCAGCGCTTTCTCAACAGGCTCAGAAGGCACTACCTGTCCGATGGCAACTAAAATAAACATTAAAATTACTATTAATAAAAAAAGATAACAATACATTTAAACATACTCATTAGCGCCGTAAAAAAATTATCAAAAGATTTAAGCCTTTTTTTACCTAAGGCTCCGTCTAAATTATAATTGAGAATTATCTCATCCGAGAATATTTTTCTTATTGAACGACTCATCCTCCCCTGGCTCAAGAGCAGGATCATATGCGTTATCTGAAAATACTTATAGTTGTAAGTTTTTAAAAAATAAATTGTATGGAATGAGAAACTTACAAATGTTAGGCCATTCTCCTGGTTTATTTTATCGTCCATTACCGAAAGCTCCTCGTCCGATTTTATAGGAAAATAGTTTTCGATTTCTTCGGCTATTTGTCCGTCAGTTTCTGGTAATCCCTCGCTTGATTTTATGAAGGAATACTCATAGATTTTAAGTGATTTCTCAGGCTTTACATTCGTCGTCTTATTCACGATCGTCTTTGAGGACTTCAGGGCCTTTTTTTTGGATGAATTAAGGTTCTTAACGCATCTCATTGCCTTCTTCAACGTTTTCTCTTCCGGTTCAGACGGCTCTACCTGACCGATGGCATCTAAAATAAAATGATAATTTGTTAATAAAATAAAGACAATTATGTAAATAAACATACTCAATAGCGCGGGAAGAAAATTTGTAAAAGATTTAAGTTTTTTCTTGTTTTGGTGGCCGTCTAAATTATAATTAAGTATGATCTCCTCCGAGAATATGTTTCGTATTGAGCGACTAATCTTCTTCTGGGTCAAGAGCATTACCATATGCAATATCTAAAAATATATTGGCACCATGTACATTACAAAATAATTGTAGAATAAAAAACTTACAAATGCACCGTCATTCTCTTGGTTTATTATTCCGTCCATTTCTAGTAACTCCTCATCCGATTTTATTGGGAAAAATTCGTCGATATTTCGCGATATCTCAGCTGTCTCTTCCACGAACGAATTGGAGGCCTTGAGGGATACCCTTTTGACTGCGTGAAGGTTCTTAGGAAAAAAGTTTTCGATTTCTTCGGCTATTTGTCCGTCAGTTTCTGGTAATCCCTCGCTTGATTTTTTGTAGGAATACTCATCGATTTTAAGTGGTTTCTCAGGCTTTACCTTCGTCGCCTTATTCACGATCGTCTTTGAGGACTTCAGGGCCATTTTTTTGGATGAATTAAGGTTCTTAACGCATCTCATTGCCCTATTCAACGTTTTCTCTACCGGATCAGACGGTTCTACCTGACCAATGGCATCTAAAATGATACGTTGTTAATAAAATAAAGCCAACGATGTACGTATGTAAACATACTCAATAGCGCGGGAAGAAAATGATTAAAGGACTTAAGTTTCTTCTTGTTTTGATATCCGTCCAAATTATAATTAAGTAGGATCTCCTCCGAGAATATGTTTCGAATTGAGCGGCTTATCTTTGACTGGTTCAGTAGCAGTGCCATGTGCTTTATCTGAAAACGAGAAAATTTTGCAATAAGTACATTGGTCTATTTAAAAAGATAATTATAAAGTGAAACACTTACAAATTGTCCGGCATTCCCCTCGGTTATTTTTTCGTCCATTTCCGACAGGTCCTCGTCTGATTTTATAGGAAAATATTCATCAATCTTCTTCGATATTTCAGCGTCTACCCTCGTCGCCTGTTCCAAGAACGCCGTAAGTGTTCCTACGGCATCCTTCACAGCTCGTAGTTCAGCCAGACCCGAATGAAGGTCCTGCTGGAGTTCTTTTTTTTCGTACTTATATAGAGAAGTTGTCTTTATTATATACTCAAATATTGAATACGTACCATTAATTTTGCTAAGCCAAAGATAATTATCTGTAAATGTCATTAAAAAGGGACTTAAGGATAACCTAGAAAGAAAACAAAAGAGTATAATACTTACGGCTGTTTGCGTTGTCAGCGCAGAAACGTTTTGGGGCAAGCTCACTCATACTTAAATTAAATAAAATTAAACCGCCTCGTTTTTAGGAAGACAACAAGCCATTTAATTTTATGCAAGTGACGATATTTACAACTACAAATGCCCGACCAGCTGATCGACAAACATATGTTCGGAAAACAGTGCTAAAAAACATCACGACCCAGTAATGCGCCACCTGGTGGACATTTGAAATTAAAACGTTATTTTTTAAATTTAAATACAAATCTGAGATAGCGCGTACATCATTGGCGAATCAATTTAATTGAACAACGTTTTCTAAATGGGACCACAATGCGTAAGGGTGAGAATTGCATTTTAAATGTACGAAATAAACGGATAGGCTGGACAAATTGTAACCCTCTGTGGGTGTGTACCTCGTACAGTTGCGGTCAAAATAATAGTAGTGCCGGTCGCCCACAGAGTTTTTTATCAATACTTTCTCTATTTCCTCACATATCCAACTTATTCTTTCGCAAAAGTAACAATAATTATCAGGGACCGTAAATAATCATTATTTGAGATTTTTATTTTAAAAGGCCTACTGAGGTTTTCACAAGTTTTAATCAGCAATTTAACTGGTTTTTATGCACTTTATAGACATGAACAAATAACAGTTAATTTGCTTTCCAGATTTGTTGAAATGCATATACTTTGTGGACAAGAGTAAAAAGAACGTTATTTTTGACGTTTAAAACCAAATATCACAGTAGTCTTTTTAAAATAAAAATCTCAAATAATGATTATTTACGGTCCCTGATAATTATCTGTGCAGTTGTGTTAGGATATCGCCTCCCTTTGTATTCCTTTTCACCTTAATTTGCAAGAATGCACTTATTGGACTCAGTCAAAATAATAGTAGGGGCAGAGATATTATCAGGAATAATTAAATATTGTCAATTTTAAACCAGGTTTGTGTTGTTTAACAATACTTTCGGATGTTATTTATTAGTCCCTAGCATTTTTAGATTTTTTCTCAACACTGAGTCCTGTCTAAATGGGGCGTGGCAAACAGTGTTCTGCCGAGAGGCGAGATCTAATTAAAAAATTGATTTCTGTTAAAAATAAATATTTCGAAGTGCACAATATTGTTGGTTGTAGAAGAGCTACAATGGTTAGAAATTCTATTAAAAATTATCCAGCAAATAAAACGAGTGGTCGACCCAAGTTATTGGACAAAAGATCAGTGGATCGCTTAGAGCAAACAAGCTAAAGAGTGGTTCGCAGCCAATCAAGTCAATGTCATGGAGTGGCTCGCACAGTCACCTGATCTTAATCCAATCGAGAAATAATGTTGTGACATGAAAAGAGCTGTCTCGGAAATAAAACCAAGCAACTTTGGAAAGCTGTACAAATATATTGAAGCTATATTCCTTTTAAAGACGTGCCATAATTAAGTTAATTCCTTGCATAAGCGCTGTGCGTCTGTTATTGCAAGCAAAGGATATGCAACTAAATTTTAAAATAAACCTTAAATGTAGGTATATTATATACATTTAATCATTTAATCTTGAAACTTTTGTTGTAAGATTACACATTTTATTTTTTTCTGAAAAATCTTAAGAAGTATTAATTACACTGTGCAGCATTTTTAGTGCTTTTTAAGTGTACCTCGATGGATGCTATATTTTTGGATTCGTAACGAATTCCCAAGATAAACTGCGTTTTCAAAAAAGTTCCCCGACGCAAGGATTCTTAGCAAAAGGACCTCAAAGTTCGAAAAATGCAGAAATTGGCCAACTTTCTTTCATGGTTTGATTCGATGCTAAAGTTTTTTAAAAGATACCTTCTTTATCTTTCAAACCCCATACTTAGAATAATTTTAGGATTTTTTTTAAGGCAGAAATAGATTCCAGAAAACATAGTCAAAAAACTTAAAAACATACAGCTGCGGTCAAAATAGTAGTAGTGTTGCCGCCCTGTGTTTTTAAAAGTTTGTTGCTGTAATTCATCTTCTTCTGGTGATATTGTATTGATTATAATTGTACTATTAGACTAATTGGATAAGAAAAGTGACAACAAAAAACTTTTAAAAACACATGACGGCAACACTACTACTAATTTGGCCGCAGCTGTATACTTTTATGTTATTTGACTATGTTTTCTAAAACTTGTTTCTCCCTTAATAAAAATCCTAAAATTATTCTAAGTATGGGGTTTGAAAGATAAAGAGTGTATCTTTTATAAAACTTTAGCATCTAACCAAACCATGAATCCGCTTGCCTCTGAGAGCTTTGGAAAGTTGGCCAATTTCTGAATTTTTCGAACTTTGAGGTCCTTTTGCTAAGAATCCTTGCGTCGGGGAACTTTTTGGAAAACGCAGTTTAACTTTGGAACTCGTAACAAATCCAAAAATATAGTATCCATCGAGGTAAATTTTTGATGCTGCATAGTGTTATTATAACCTACTAATAGCTGAGTTTTGATGAAATATAAAAAAAAACAAGAGAGAACGCTATAGTCGGGTGCCCCGACTATCAGATACCCGTTACTCAGCTAAAGAAATTGCGAAGGAGATGAAGATAAAAACTTTGATCCGCCGTATCTTTTTAACGAATGGTCCGATTTAAAAAATTTCTTCTACATTTCGATAGGTATTGATAAACACCATTAAACTGCATTTTTACTTTTCCGAAATATTGAAATTTTTAAAATTGTATATAAGCGACTGTGGGCGTTAGAGGGGGCGTGGCACCCTTTTGAAACAAACTTGCGCTGCGTAGGAACTCCTAGAATCTGCATGCAAAATGTCAATCTTCTAGCTTTTATAGTTTCCGAGATCTCAGCGTTCATACAGACAGACAGACGGACAGACGGACAGACGGACAGACGGACATGGCTAGATCGACTCGGCTAGTGATCCTGATCAAGAATATATATAGTTTATAGGGTCGGAAACGCTTCCTTCTACCTGTTACATACTTTTGCACGAATCTAGTATACCCTTTTACTCTACGAGTAACGGGTATAAAAATTGTAAACACGTTTCTAAAGGTATTTTTTGGGGTTTCTAGAAATCCTTTATGGGCACTGCTATTATTTTGACCGCAGCTATATATAAACCGGTTTTTGTGCACTTTATTAGCATGAAGAAATAATAGTTCCTTTGTTTTCCAAGATTTGTTGACATGCATAACTTTGTGGACAAGATTAAAAACGATGTTTTTTGACGTTTCAAACAAAATATCACTGTAATGTTTTTAAAATAAAACTCTCAAGTAGCTGTTTTGTACGGTCCCTGGTTTTTGGGGCTCTTATTACGGGACAAATAGTACAAGGTGGCGGAAAATTTTGTTTTTTGTTAAAAACTGTTTATAAAACGCATTTTCTTTGTCATATTAACTAAAAACCTAAAAATAAATATTTTATCCATTAAAATGGAGTCAGATAGTTTCGATTAAAGCCTAGTACTCAGTACGACAAAAAATGCTAGCTAACCATAGGAGTAAGCGAGAGGAAAACAGGTAGCTAAAGCCTTTAGACGGGGCCTTTTTTCACAGCGGTACTCAAATAAGCTAACGAAATGGTAATGAAATACCAAAAAAAATACCAGATTTAGCGGATGTATTTCGAAGAACGCCTTTAGCGCCGCCCAAACAATAAAAAATTTTATCTTTGGCTGTGTTTGTGTAGAATAGTGTTGGGTTGCTCATGAGTGAGTGAACAAAAAAGGGTTGCTCACTAAACTGAGTGAGTGAACATGTTCCTTCCAAATTGTTCTTTGTTGTTCACTTGTTCATTTTTGCTCACTTGCTCCTTTTTGTTCACTTGCTCAGTTTTGCTCTCTTATAGTCTAGTCACACTATGTGGGGAAACCTATCGAGTAAGCCAATAACCCGATTAATCCAAAAATGTGTTTCCACTGGGTTAACTCCAAATATCGAGTAATGACAGCTAGTGTTTGTTGTTTGTGTTGTTTATTTGACTAGGGATGGACCTTCACCGATAGGAAATAAATACAAAATATACAACAAAATACAAAAAATACTCCGAAATACCAAAGACCCTAAAAGTAAGTACCTCACTTTTGCCCACATCTAGTTGCCTATACACAGCCTATGTAAAAAAAACAGGGTTATGTCAATAACCCTATAACTCCACCCCAGTGTAAATAGACTATTATAATGTGCGTCAAATTAGCGTCGGTGACTTAGCGGCGATTGTGGAACGGTGGAATTTGGAACATGGGGCCAATTTTTAATTTTTGATTTTTTCGGCTTCTGGGGGCGAAATTGAACAATATTTAATGCAAATTTGTTTAGAATGAAAATATCTATCGATCTATATAGGTTGCAAGCCTATCCGACTTCTAGAAGTATATTAAAAATCTATTCTAAAAATCGTGTCCCCACAATTTTTTTTATTGCTCCCCTCACAGAGGTTGTACCAATATGCACGGTAAACATGATTATTGGGCGTTAGTTTAAGCTTCTTGTCAGAAAGTATCATTAAGCTAAAGCCGTCAGTTTTTGAGAAAATCGCCTAACAGTGAATGCACCTCGGATTTTCCCCATACAAAAAAGGGGGGCAACTGTTAAATTGCACAGGGCTCCACTCTCAGACGTTGTACCAACATGCACGGTATATTGGCAGATTGGGGATCGCCTAAAGCAAGTTCAATGAAAAAATCATAAAGATAAAGCCGTCAATTTTTGAGAAAATCGCTTTACAGTGGGGGGAGATAAATAGTTAAAAGAAGTGCCGCCAAATTCAAATTTGAACCAGTAAGTTCCAAGACATGAACCACTATGTAAAAAATGTATTCATGACACTAACCATATGGGAAAATATTTCTGTTTCGACGCTAACTCTATTTTCAATTAATTAGACTTTCACAGACGTTGTACCAACATGCACGGTACATCAGTGGAAAGGAAATTAATTTCAATAATTAACTAATGCAGTACGGCTAACGAAAAGCCGTCAGTTTTTGAGGAAAATTGGAACCAGAACGACCCTGTTCTACGCTCCCAATAGGAACCAGAACGACCCTGTTCCACGCTCCCAAGACTCTTACCACATGGGAAAATATTTATGTTTCGACGCTAACTCTATTTTCAATTAATTAGA